AAGAAACTGCTGAGAGCATCATCGCAAAATTGCTCCCACACATGATGTTGCTAGTCACTTAATGGCTGCTGTGGGGGACTGGTAAGTCAAAAATGAACTAACTGGGGAGCTGAAAGGGGCCAATAAGAAAGCAAGGGCGTAGAAGGAAGAAAAAATGCAGGGCAAGAGGGCAAAAGGGGGAAAGGAAAACTACCCTGCCATTTTCCAGGTTTTTAATTGAAATACTTTTGAAAGGGGCAAGAAATGGAGAGCTTGTGGATACTGTTGGAAGAACCCTGGGCTATAGTTTGCCTCACTGCTTTTCTGAAGCATTTCTGCAAACCTCCAAAGTAAGAAGCACACCTGAAATATAACCATTTTCCTTCAACGTATCTGCAATTGCAGCAGCCCCATCGCCATTCAGCCAATTGTCACTCAAGTTCAACTTCACAATGGAGGTGTTACTTGTCAAGGAAAGAGCGAGAGCTCTGGCCCCCTGAAATGGGAGAGAGAAGAAGTGAACGCCACGTGGATTGCAGACCTGTGCATCGCCTCCCCCAGGCCAGTCGACCGCACCACCCAGGCCAGCCCGGCAGCTCAGCTTCCGCCCAGAGGAATGGGCGGTGCCACCTCAGACTGCAGGAGGGCTCGCTGGCCACAAAAACCCCCACGGCCAAGGCAGGGCCGTGCGCAGCCTAGCGGGGAAACGCTAGGCGGCACAAACCCTTCATCTTGTCATCTAGTTCCTGCTCTGGGCTTCTGGCCTGTGCCGTTCCAAGGGATTCTATCCTGTCCTATCACTGAACTTCTACAAGAAACTGCCAGGAGGCAAAGTGCGTAGCAACTGGAGTTACCTGATGCCTCCCCTGATGCCATTTTGGTGTCATATTTCTTTACGCCTTTTTATTTTGACCAGTTTTGTACCAGTTAGGTTAATTGTTTTCATGTTGCCCCTCCTAATTGTCTTGATTTTTGTGCTTTACTGTGTTTTTAATGTAAGTCACTTTTGAAATTATATTGAAGGGCAGTAAAAATCTTAAAATAAAATGCATTTTTAAATTAAGTGCATGTAACAGGCACTGTTATTAATAGCAACACTCAGCACTGCTTAACTGTCTAAAGCGCTACAGAATGCTTCAAATGTTGTTTTAACCATCCTTGCAACAACCCTGTAAAGTCGGGATTACTAAGCATGTCAATATAATTATTCCCTACACATACACAATTCTTTAAACTTATTCTCTATGCCCATTATTATTTAGAACTCCAGTCATCTGTTCCAGTTTTGATGCTGTCAGTAATTGTGGCTGTTTATCTGGCTTATCAAAGTCAAATGTTGGCTGGAGATTCTACACCTCAAACAGTGCTAGTTAACTGGCAGTTTAGAGTTTGTCCAGAATCACCTAGGAATACAGTATCTAGAGAGTAAGGTGATTAATGAAACCTTAAAGGCATCTTTGTAGTTAATTCTATGGGGTAGGGTAACTACAATAAAAATGAAATTCCTTACATTGTTTATGTTTCATGTGGTAGTCCTCTATTTATTCCTGGGAAATATTTCCAAACACTTTATGCTTTGTTTTGTAAATTCCTCTAAGGTCCCACTCCACCACAAATACTCTTGAAAAATATTCAACTTTGGATTAAAGAGGGTGGATTTGGCTTCCCTGATCTATCATCAGGCCTATGTGTTGACTTGAACTAAATGTTGTGCTTTTCCACTCAGACAAGACCTCCCACCCCGGCCAGTTTTGCATTCTTCATGCTTGGATCCTCTCCCCAGATAGATCGCACTGGTTTTCTCAATATACTGAAACTGACAGGATGACTCCTACAATTAGCAGAGTTCCACTTCAAATGGAGTTTGATTTTTTTATATACAAAATTAGCCCTATAGGGAAATCCAGATGTAAAGACTGGCAAGAAAGCATTAGTTTGGTGGATTTAGAATGACAGCCTGATTTTTACTTTGGATCAGCTTCTAGGTGCCAATGAAAACTTTCTGCCATTCTCTGTTTGGCATGTTAATGGTTTTTCTGTGGTGGCACACCAATTATGGAATATGCTACTGCTGTTGAGCTTTAGGCACCTGACAAAAACCTTTCTTTTCTGGCACACCTATGGCACCATTTAGAGCATCCATATTAATTGCACTGGTTTTAAAAATTAGTGTTTTATTTTTATTTGACCATGTATGTGTGATTTTATCTTGTAATTATGGTGTTTTAATTGTATCATGCTATGTTATTGGTATTTTTATTGTAATGGCCACCCTGAGAGAGTAATGCTAACAGCAATGCTTTCAAACAAATCTAATAATACATAATAATTAAAATTATGTCCAGGTACAACTGAATGGCAAAATGTGCAGTTAAAACGTTTCTTAGAAACATTTGTTAGGCTTGCAGCTGCCACTTTTACAGCTTCAGAGCCTTCATTATTGTAAGTACTGGTTGTAGCTGAACAACAATATCGACACACAAGCCATGTTTTAAAATATCTATTGTCAGTAAATGAATATGGTACACAAGGTCTTAAGCAAGAATGGATGAATGAACCGGAGCACTGTATTTCGCCCACTTAATGGAGTGCTTCATTAGCATCTATTTCTGAAGGGATAATGGATCTTAGGTTATGTTTAATTCTGCAAAAACTGATGCTTTGAGTATAATGGATGCCACAAACGCTCTTCGATGAGGGTTTACCCAAACAGACCAATCATTGGAGCTGTAATGCACTTCTCTTACTCATATGTTTTGGAAATAGCCAAATGATAGCTTCCTTTTGGAGGAAGTAATAATTCAGATTTTTTATGGAAAGCACTTCAACAGATGCACATTTTCTTCTTAACTATCAGTCTCTTGGAACATAATACAAGGTCAACATAGATTCCCTGGGCCCTCTGACTGGCGAAAAGACTAGCATTACAACACGAAAGGACAAAAAGCCACCTGCACTAGGAGTACATAGCATGCATGCATCTAATTTAGATGCCAGGAAGCACTTCGTGACAGTTAGGACCCCGAGGATATGGAATGGGCTTCCTCGGGAGGTGGTTGAGGCCCCCTCGGGGAGGGTGTTCAAGGATAGGCTGGACGTGCACATGAGTGGAGCCGGCTTGAGCCAGGGGTCAGACTGGATGGCCCGGGAGGCCCCTTCTGACTCGCTCTGTTTCTGTTTCTAATGTAATAGATTCACTCAAATATCATGTAATAAAACTGCAATACTTTATTTCATTCTGCTTTTAGATTTTGGCTTTAATTTTGACATTCACAATAAAAACTTAATCAAAATTTATCTTTTAAAATCCCCATACTGCAGATAGAAAGGGGTAGGGGGGAGATGACGTGTGCTGAGGAAATGCTTACAGGAACCTATTAAGTTCCTGAATGAAGATCCTCTCCAGCTAAAAAGCTGCCATACAGGCTTCCCTGTTGCAACTGCAACTGCTGTGTGCCAACACCATATTCATGAGCCAAATGGGTGGGCATTTTCTCCACCTGTTACCTTGGGGCCAAGGCCATGATGCATCAGGGTAAGTTTGGAATCTTTCATATGCCGTAAGAAGTAAGAGACTGGGACAACGCCATGCATTTGGCAGGTACAACGGTATTTGTCTTTTCCTGCTGGATCATATGATGACTTAGAATCTGTACCAGGGAAAAAGAAAACAAAGGATCAGAGTCACAGGAAAAAACCTAGATTTCCGAAACACAATAAAGCCATTAAATGGAAAAACAATCCTATATAAAACCCACAGTTTTGAACATTTCCCCTGTGCCAAGAGCACTGTCCATCTGGTGGCACGCCCTGCATCACCACCCAAAAGGAAAGAAACATGCACAAGCCAAGCAACCCCACAGGTTATTTTCTATGGGCAAGGCTCTTTGAAAATAAAGGGAGCGCTGTAAGAGCTACACTATCAGGATACCAGTAGTGTCAGACTGCCAGACACAGGGCCAGCACCTAGCAGTCTGGAGTACTATTAAGAAAGGAAACTTCCAAGGGAGGCGTTTCCACCAATGCTTTGAACTCTCTCCCTCTGTTCTTCCTCCTACCCGCACTCTCCCAGGCAGCAGCACCTCTTTCTCTCTGCTACTTTTACCTTTTGGCATGTTGCAGATGTAGCTGCAATCACACCTAGCACCCCCGCAGCAGGCCTGAACTCTTTTAAAAGTTTAAAAACAGAGAGGAAAAGAGAAGATGCAGCTGCCTTGGAGAGTGAGGAGGGTAGGAGGCAGAACAGAGGGAGGAAGAAAGAGAGAGAGAGGAGCATGTTGCAGGTGGGTGTGGGGTTAGCAGAGAGAGTGAACAAGCGCCGTGGGGAGAGGGAGTGAAAGACCGGGAGCAGCAGCCTCCAGGAGTGTGTGTGAGAGTGTGCACTGAGGGGCTGCCGGGGAGATCTCGCTCGGGGCTTCCTCAGCCGATGGCAGCATGTGGTGCAGCATGCTGGGACAGCCACTGACACCGGCTGGGGGTAGCCCCGTTGAGGGTGAACGGGTCGAGCGACAGCGGGCGTCAGCAGCGGAGGTGCAAATGGGACCTCCGTCTTACGAGGCCATGGATCACTCCTCCAGATACTGGCCGTTGGCATGGAATCTCTGAGCCGTGCCTTCTGTCTCGAGGTCTGTGTCCCACTCTTGCTCTTCATCCTGCTCCCACTGCTGCTCCTCCTCCTCTTCAGACTCACTCTCTGGGTTCTCTGGGTAACAAGCATCATTTTCCTCACACAGATCCTGAGGTTCACCAGCAGACCTGGAAAAAGTCTGAGAGAATGTAATGTCAAGAAGTGCATGGGCGCATGTGTGCGCACAATTTTACCAAGAAAGGAATCACGCAGAAACCCACATTTGCTTGGAGATAAGGAAAACGATGCTTCACAGCAACAACCACAGTGTGCCAACTGTGCTTGACACTGAGTTTAAAAAAGAGCTAGCTCGCCTGAAAGGTCAGAGCAGGACATGCAGTTTCTTTCAGGATGCACAGGAAGGACCATATGTTCTGGAACAATAATAAATATACCTGGTAAATGTCCAGGTGGAAACTCTGGCAATACCTTAAGCTGCACTCTTTGGAAAGATAAGGGGTGGCTTCCTGTTTATGGCTTCTATAACTAAAAGGATTTTTGGGGTAATTAAGCCATTACCTCAACTCAACTTATTTAACATATTTCTCCTTTGCCAATTTTATTTATTTCGGACATTTAAACCAAAAAGAAAGCACCAAACTAGAAAAAAAACTTCGGTGAAATTGGGTTAATTTTGCACCAGACATTTCCATTCTGGATTATGCATCCACTACCATGCAAGCTTCTCCCTGGTTCTCAGGCGGGGTCCCACAATTTGTCTTCATGGAGGAAGGCCCAGAGATGTGGCACTTTTCCCAAAAGCAACTATGATCCGATGCATGTTTATTCAAAAGAAATGAGGCTAAGATATGGCACAATGAGATCTATGTACAATGACTTGAATACTGGCCACACTGAGTCCCCCAGAATTGCCTTTACTTGTTCAGACAGCAGCATTGCCCAATGGGGCTTAATTTACCCGCAGGGGCTGTCGCATCATGCTGGGCACCCACAGGTGTCATTCTGCATGGTGTTCATGGATGCCCAACATGACACCAGAGCCCTGTGGGTAAAGGAAGCCAAACTGGATGGTTGTGATATACAACCTTTGCATTTTGTCATTATGTAAGTAGGAAGCTGTCCTCTGGAGCTCCCCAAATTGCTGGGGGTGGCATAGACTGATACTACAAAACGTGTGGATAATATTTATCTGCCTTATTTATATAAAGAATTTTTACTTTTCCAAAAGGCTCAGAGCAGCATACAGATCAACTGCAACAATAAAAAAACAACTGGAAAAGACATAGCACTAAAGGAAAAGAGATGGGAAGTGAAGAGGAAAAAAGAAAACTCAGCAGCAGCAGCAAACCTGGTGCTTTGCAGAAGTTTTGTACTATCTCTCCCATAAACCCTGACCATGGGGGCTTAGGGAAACTGAAGTCCTAAGCATTTGGATGGTTCTTAGCTACACAGTCCTTAACAACCGGTCGGAAAACACTGCAAAGCTGGAGGCTGGTTTCTCAGCTGATCAGACCAGACCCAATGGCCCTGCTTCCCTCTGCTTCCTCACTCACTCACCAAGCTGTTGCCAGTTGACCCTTGATGGAGGGAGCCTGGCTTCGTGGCAGAGCAGTTCCGCCAGGCTGTCTCAAAGACTACAACACAGGAATTATCAGCCAAGTATTTTAGATGCCCTAAATATAGGATTTATTTACTGCATCCTTCTACCCCAGCAATAGCATAAGCACTCGGAGTGATTCACAGCCATTCATTTTAAAAAGTACAAATCAGCGTTACAAAAATAAAAAATTCCGATGTAGAAAACTTGGAGAATGTGAAAATAAACACGCAGCAAAAACTATTTCAACGCAACCATACGAATATCGGTGCCCCCGCCCCGTGCCATTAAATGCTACAGAACGCCCTGCAGAAGAGGGCCGTCTGAACGCGGCACTGCAAAGCAATGGCGCTGGTGCCAGGCAGGTCCCGGTGGAGCCACCACTGAGAAGGCCCTCCCCGTGTTGCCATCCTCCAAGCGGCCCAGGAAAGGGGGCGGGGGCGCCGGTGTCGTCCCTAGCGCAGGAAAAGGCCCGCGGAGAGCCTCCCCGCCGTCGGGCGAAGGGCCTCCGCGACCGCGCCCCCGCCCCCGGCTGCCCGAGCCTCCGCTCCTTCGGCCGCGCCCCGACCCCGGGCCGCCTCTTCGGCCTCGCCCTCACCGCCAAGCCCCGGGAGCCAGCCCGACTGGCCTCGGCCCGAGAGGCGCTTCCGGGCCGCCGGCCCTCGACGTCGGGCTCCTGCTCGGGGACAGGCGACAGCTGCGCCGGCCGCTTCGGCATCGCCGCGCTTGGGCTGCCTTGGCAACGGCCACGCGGGCGGCCGCGAAGTCTGGCGGAAGGGGCGGGCGCAGTCCGGGATCGCGCGAGCCGATTGGAGGCGGCGGGCGGGCGGTGAGCCTATGGCGAGCGGCAGCGCCAGCCCGCGCTGGCCTCGACTCGCCTAAGGGCGGCGCCAGTTCGAGCCCCGCTCGGGGCCCGGCGCCCGCGTGCACACCCTGAAATCTCGCAGTGACAGAATATCTATACGAAACTCATTTTACAGCCGGGCAAATAACAGCCGTATTTTCATCACACTTCCTAGCCTAGAATTAAGCAGTGAAGGAAAAGCAAAACGAAGAGGCTCGTTACCATTCTTTTTGGAACGGGATTTTTCAAACCCTAGAACATGAGTTATGAGGGATATTCTATTTACCTGTTTCGTTCTGGCTTAAGTGGAAGAGCTGGGCTGACAGGAACCTTTCTGGGCACCTCCAGGTGCAAACGCTGCTGGAGAGGAAGGCCACTTTTGCTGCTGACAGAATCTCGAATTCCAGTTTGCGAGGAATGAACACTCAGATTCGTGGGGAAGATCAAAACGTCTGAACCTCAGTGGCTTTATTGATCGGTGGCCCAGTACCTGCAGTAACTAACAATAATGCTTTACCAGGTGTAAGTAAAGTCAACAACATCACAGCCCATGTACAGACACCTGTATAACCTGCTAGTCACATAGACTAATACAGCTGTTAAGTTTTCAAATAATGTTAGTGCAATGGCATCTTGAAGTCTTTAGGCATGACATTTGACATAGTGTCACACAACATTCTGATAAGCAAATTAGCAAAAAATGAACTAGATGGAAAAACTATTAGGTGGATCCAAAATTGGCTGCTAAATTGGACACAAAGAGTCCTCATCAATGGCACCTTCTCAAATTGGATGGAGGTAACTGGTGAGGTGCCACAGGGTTCAATCCTGGGCCCAGTGCTCTTCAACAGCTTTATTATTTTTTTTTCCATTCATATCCTGCCTTTTTCCTGCAAAGGGCTCAAGGCAGCTTACATCTCCTCCTCCATCTTATCCCCGCAACAACAACCCTGTGAGGTAGGTTGGGCTGAGGGTCTGTGACTGGCCCAAAGTCACCCAGTTGGCTCCATGGCTGAGCGGGGACTTGAACCCAGGTTGTCTGAGTCCCAATCCCATGCTCTTAACCACTACACCACACTGGCTCTCCCACATTATTAATGAGTTAGATGAAGAAATACTAGGAAAGATAATCAAATTTGCAGATGATAAAAAACTGGGTGGAATAGCCTGGGTGGAAACACCCTAGAAAACAGCATGAAGATCCAGGGCGATCTTGATAAACTTGAACACTGGGCTGAAACCAACAGAATGAAATTCAGTAAGGACAAGTGCCAAGTTCTCCACCTAGGAAAAAGAAACCAAATGCATTGACACAAGATGGAGAATGTGTGGCTCAACAGAACTGAACAAGAAAAAGATCTTGGAGCAATTGTGGACAACAGGCTAAACATGAGCCAACAATGCGATGCAGCTGCCAAAAGGGCAAGTGCTATCTTGGGATGCATTAACAGAAGTATTACTACCAAATCACGAGAAGTCGTAGTTCCCCTATGCTCCTCACTAGTCAAACCTCACCTGGAATACTTTGTCCAGTTCTGGGCACCAAGATTTAAGAAATATGCAGGTAAATTAGAAAGGGTCCAGCAGAGGGCAACAAAAATGATCCAGGGTTT